AGCACATCCCGGCGGATGACTCGTGGGAGGGCAGGACCCTCGCCGTCCTCAAGAAGCCCGTCGACTGGATCCCGCTGCAAGGCACACAAGAGGAGAAGGAACAGAGGGAACTCACCACTGCTGCCTCGTGACAAGAACCAATCAATCGAGGGAAGTTCAGCGAGTAAGTTGCTGTAGCGCTCTGGTTGATGGGCGAGGTAGATGGGGATGGAACACAGCACATATGACTGCATGAGTGTCTGGCTGGACACACCATCGGAACGTACCGAGGCCAGCGAACCGCAGGCGCTGAATTCTCAGATGATGACGGGTGTAATACAACGAGTGCGCACACGCATGCATTCATCGCGTGTGGCGCTCACGTCTTAGCTCGCAGACTTCCCCTCCCCCGCATTCATTCTCATTCCCATAACCGACCACACACCTGCTTCTCCCTCTTCTCCTCTTCTCCCTCTCCATCTCTGTCAGCATGCTTTGTTCTTGCTCGTCTGCATCGCCATCTGGCTACTCTTTTTTGTATCCTTCTGTCTGCTCTTTGTATCCTTGTGGCTGCTCGAGGTCTGTCGGAATGGCGCCGCACCCCCACTTACCCGCGGCAGGTCCTCTGATGCGCCCATCTTGTGATGGCCGTGGTGGCGAAGTCCTGTTCTTCCCGCCCGCCCACCACCTGCTGCTTTGCGCAGCTCAACCCCACCCCTCCCCCACGCCACACCCCTGCTGGAACCCTCATCCAGCAGCTCAGAATTCAGCGTGCCCTCCGGCGCCAGCCCTCCAGCAGCAGCAGGAAGCCCAGTGCAACACTATTTTCACCCAGGTTGCGGAGGCCATCGGCAAGGGCGTCGCTGCTATCCGCCAGACGGCCGAGGACATTGGCGAGAGAGTCCGGCACTTCGGACAGGGTGTCGCAGAGTGCCGCCTCTGTCCCCCCTGTGTTGCGGCCAAAGTCAAGGGATGCGAGGAGGACACGACGACAGCGCCTGACGAAGCGCCACCCCCAGCCCCGCTTGCCCTCTCCTACCGCAACAGGGGATACGTCAGCAGACTACCGCCGCCCCATGCCGCTCACCCGCCATCCATCGGCAGCCCGAAGGCATCACCCGCGAGCCAGCCATGTGGGGCGAAGATTCCCCTAAAGCTGACAGGCAAGAGGACAAGAACGGGTGAGCCGGCCAAGCCACCCACATATCGGCAATCAGCTCCCATCATGGTGCCGGCTCCTGCAAGACCCCCCTACCCTTTCCGCACCGTGCGGCTGGAGGACGTCGGCCCCATGAGCAGCAGCCACTCACACGTGAGGAAGATGCGGGCCATTCCACTTGACGAGGCCGGCAACGACCTACCCCTTTTCCACCGCCCACTGGTCGTCTGCAAGAAGGTCGGTGGCAGGGCGGCCTACCAAGATCGCCACGAGGTCGGCTGCCACTTTCTCTTCACACGGCACGCCGAATCCCCTCAACCGCAGACCTCCTCTTCCTCACCGCCAGGGTCATCGGCTGCCGCGCCCGAGGAGCAGCAGCCTGAGCCCCGCTTCGCCGCCAGGGTCATGCCGCCGACCAGCAGCCGCATATTCCGCAGAGTGGCGGAGGCGGAGGACTACGGATTCATCGATCTGATGAGTCCCCACGTCTTCACGCCATTTGGAGCATCGGGCAGCGGGAGCCCACCGGGGGAGGCGGAGGGTCCACCCGAGTCCAAGAGCGGGCAGCCATGTATCAAGCTGGACGGGTTGGACTCCAACGAGTTCGTCATGCTGCACGTGCCCCGCTTCCCGCCGGGCAGCGGTTCCGTCCTGCCGCTCCTACCACACCAACAGCGAGATTCTGATTGGGAGGACCTGGTGTGGGAGACCGGGCTCAACAACAAGCCGAAGGAGCAGTGGGCTGAGTGGCGGGCCAAGTGGATGGAGGAGGATAGGGAGAAGAGCGCCCTTCCCTTCGATGACATCGAGGGAATACGCAAGGAGCTCGAGCGGCTGGGAGTGGTTGGCACCCAACAAGACGCTGTACGGGTACTGCTGATTAAGGACCTCGTGGACAAAACACGCATGATGCATCAGGTGCGCCGGCTGCACGGGAAAGCGGAGCGTCGTGTCCACTCGCTTGTCTATCCGTGTGTCTGCCTGTGCCTGTGTGTACGTATGTGTATCGTGCGTGTGCAGGTTGTGGTGCCTAAGAAGGGTGTGGACTACTACGCGTCCCTCACCAGCCAGACCACCCCAGGTCAGCCGGATATCCTCGCCAAGGCGGTCACCTACGCCAAGACGGACGGGTCCCCAGCCGTGTACGGCGACCTCACCCCCTCGAACGCCCTCGTCTGCTTCCGACAAGTGGACTTGGAGCTCAAGGGGGGCTCGGGGACGACCGGACGGTTCGTCGTGGCGTGCGTGGTGTTCGTCGACGCCAGCGTCGCAGCCACACATGACCGCCTTAGTTGCATTTCCGGCAAGCTCAACTACGAAACGCTGGAGAACAACCTCACCCGGCAGCTGGAGCACTCCATGAGGGACGAGGGCGTCACGACCAGCGACATGTGGCTCGAGGTGGCGGGGCCCTACTTCCTGCGATTCAGCGAGCGGAGCGGCTGGGATCGTGGCGAGGACATCTGGGCCCTCGCCACCACTGCCATGAAGGGCTTGCAGCAGCACACGACCTACGACGCCCACAACCAGCAAGGATTCCCGCCCATCGACGCCCAGAAGGCCGCCTATCTTTACGCCACCGCCTTCAGCGAGGACGACAGGCCTGCCGAGCAGCAGAAGGTCATCGACAGCGTCAAGAAGCGGGGAGAGGAGGGCAAGGCCACAGCTGCTCACTACGAGAAGATCTACGCTGAGCAATTCGAGCAGGCGGAGTGGCCGGATACCCTCTGTCTGTGTGCGAACGGCGTCAACACCCTGACGGAGTGCGAGGCGCTGCGCACCGAGCTGGTGGAGCGGCAGCGGGAACGGTACGTGCCTGCTTCGCTGCGGGCCAGGCTGTCGTCGGATGGGTCGGTGGGGGTGGATGAGATGGTCAAGATGGTAGAGGACGGTGACTTGACACTCACCGAAGCCGCCATCGCCATTGTCTACACCAACAACCACGACCATCCTGCCAAGAGGGCCGAAGGCGACCGGCTGCTGGCTATGAGCTCCCAACTCGGCGACCTGCTCGACAAATGCAGCGGCGTCCAATTCAAGGTCCCCAAGCTCCCCCGGTCTCGTCGCTCGAGAAGGAATTCATCCATCCCTCCCATCTCTCTCGTCTGAGATCGGCTGAGCGTAGAGGAGCTGGTGGAGCAGGAGAGGATGGCGCGGGAGGACCATTAGCTGGAGGGTTTGAAGGCATCGCAGCTACCGACCACGCCGATGTGGCGGCGGACGACCACGGCAGCAATGAGGTGATTGAGCCGGACATTGTCAACGACGGCGGCGTGGTGGAGCCGGACTCGTTCGACAGTGTTGACAGTGGTGACAATGACGGCGAGGAGGAGGGATTGCTCGAGGGCGATGGGGAGGGGGAGGACAGGGAGGGGTTAGGAGCCGTCAGCGAGGCGTTGCTGGGCAAGCAGCACAGCGACGAGCTCAACACGGCACTAGCTGGCATCCCTCACGACGCCGCCCACATGGCGGACCCTCACGTGTGTGGGTCAGTGGCTACTGGGCCAGCTGGTGCCCGAGTACCTCACGCAGACCTACAGCAACATCAAGGCGGTGCAGCGGCGGCTGGCAACAGACTTCTCCCGCACTTCACGGTCATCCTCAACAACATGTGGGCGCGGGACCCCGGGTGTCGCGGAAACTGCTCGACATGTGCTCGACGAGGGGCGGACGGGCCTCAACGTGGTGCTGATGCAGACGAGCCTCTCGCCTTTCCTGTTTAAGCGACGGGCTCGTCCAGTGTGAGGACCTCAACCTCAACCAGTGGCTGACGCAGCAGCTGCGCCATGACGTCAACGCCGCCATCGTGGGCTGCGCGGCATTCCTCAAGAGCAAGATGCCCCGGACCGAGGTGCGGGACCACGTCAAGCGGGAGGGCGCCCTCGACAGGGACACCGTGGGGCAGTTCATGTCGATCCTGCAGCCCTACACGACAGGCATCGACGTTAAGGACACCACACACAAGACAAGGAGTACAGCTCGCTCGTCGCTGCTGCCATCTAGGTACGCATATACACAGACAGACAGACAGACAGAGGGAAAGACAGAGTCGGGCTTCTCATTCATGCGTCTGTCTGTCTGTCTGCCTGTCTCAGGCTTCCCGGAGCTCTCTACGCTCTCTGCCAACCACACGGCCTCGTCCGCGGCCGCCGCAGTGCACAACGGGGAGACCGACAAGGCGCCGGAGGCGCCCAACAGCCCCCACGCTGCTGCCAACCACAACGGCACCGAGAACCAGCCTGCCGCAGTCGATGACTGGCGGGAAACCCCCAATGGACACATGGAACGCGGCAGCTGAGCAAGACGCAGGCGAGCAGGCGAGCAGGGCGGGCAAGGTGAGGGCGTGGCTGAGCCGGCTGCCGAGCCGCCCACTGGTGAGAGCGCCTTCTTGCTTCCTCACCCGCATGGATTGCGTCCGGCTGACGTGCCGCTGGGGCCGCTAGAGGTGATGGAGAAGGAAGTCAACGAGTGAGTACTTCTCTCTGCTGATGAAGGATCTGATCACGGGCGCCCCCACCAGCCAGCCGGAGATGGGTAGCCATATTTTTGCGTACTTCCCCAAGTATCCGACCCACGAGCTCAAGAAGACCGCCACGCTATTCGGTACTGCCTGACGTCCGCACGGTGCTCGAGGCGCTCAAAAAGTCCCCCAAGCAACGCCCCATCGCTTTTGGCATTATGGCGCTCGAAAGGGTGAGCAACACAACGCACTCACTGACCGGCCCGTGCCTGTGTCACTCGCACGTAAGTGGGGATGTGTGTGTGTCTGTTTTATTGCGATCTCTCAGTGTTCCGGCTCGCTGTGGTGCACACGCCTGTGGGCAAGGACCCCAGCGGCCAGATAACCCTCATGCCCATCGGCTACATCCAGGAGGTCTCCGGCCAGTACTCCCACTTCATCAGCTCGCTGTTCAGCATCTTCCCTGGCCACCTGCACGAGCTCGTCATCGCACCCAAGGACACACGCTGCTCTGTGGCAAGGCCCCGCCGCCACCCGAGATCAGAGACCGGCAAAGAAAAGGTCCAGCAACGCGCTGCTGTACCGGGCGAGGGAGCGGCGCCTCCCGTCGCTGGTGGCGGCCCTCAGCCCGATATAGGTGGCACCCAGGCCTTAGCGTTTGGTATGGGAGGGCAGCCGGCCGACCTCTCGATGGACAGGGGTCGCAGGGACCGCCGTGATCGGACAAGGTACACACACAGGAGACACACACAAACACAACGGGCGAGCGTTGATTCATGTCGGCTCCTCTCGTCTGTATGTGTGAATGTCAGGTGCGGTGCCTGAGGTATCTATCGCAGGGCCCATCGGTGATAGGGTCAGCGGCATGCCCCCGGCACCAACAGGGCCCTGCGTGGCAGGCAGGGCTGGGAGGACTTTTGCAGTCTGCCCAAAAGTCCCACCCCAAACGTCCCGGCGGTTTGATGCCCGGTGCGGGTACGGCTCAGCAGCCAAGCGCAGCAGGCGGCTGGTGCGATGGGAGGGTTCGGTCTTGGCAACGTGGAGATGCTGATGCATGAGCAGGAGTTGATGCGGGAGATCATCGGGCCCCCACCGCCCATCAGCGACCAGTTCGTGCAGATATTCAACACCGTCACCATAGCCAATGTCGAGCAGAAGGTAGATCACACAGACAGACAGTGGCTGGCCCCACAACACACACACAAATGAATGGAGAAGGAAGGCATCCATCGAGATCTCTGTGTGTCG